GTCGAGTCCGCGGTGAGCGACATCGCGGAGGTCAGCACCAGGCTGGGCGGCTCGAGCGTGGCGACTCGCGAGGCCGCGCCCTGCCCCTTGTGGGGATGGAGGGAGGGTGAGAAAACTCTCCTCCTCCTCCTCCTCCTCGTTCCTCCTCCTCCTCGTTTTTCCTCCTTCCTGATTCCTCCATTCCTGCTCCTTATGCATAATTTCTCCCTGCCGCACCCCGAGGCCAGTTGTTAGGGCGGTCCGGGCGTTTCGCTTGAGACTTCTTTACCACCCATGGTTCTGAAGCTGAAAAACAATGCAACAGCTTCACATATTGAGGGCGGGTGGTTTTCAAAATATGGCTCTCGCCTCAGCGCGGCGCACATTCGCTTACAACAAATTCAAACGTTTCACGAATTGAGGGCGGGTGGTTTTCAAAATGTGGTTCTCGCCGTAGTGCGGCGCACATTCGTGTTACAAAAAGTGCAAGAGTTTCACGGATTGAGGGCGGGTCGTTTTCAAAATGTGGTTATCGCTTGAGCGCGGCGCACATTCGTTCTAACAAATTGCAAGAGTGTCACGGTTTGAGGGCGGCCTTTCTTCAAAATTAGTTCTCGCATTAGCGCCGCGCGCATTGGTTTACACAATTCGCAAGAGTTTCACGGATTCCCAGCATCATCGTACCCAAACATCTGTTTTGAAGAGATTCACGATTCTGCGGGTGCAACAGTTACGTTGGTTCGCTGTGTTGAAGTCTCAGGAATGGCTTTTTGGCACGATCCCGGATCGTCAAGATGCAACAGTCAGGTTCATCCGTGGCGTTCGAATCCCGAGAACAGTGTTTTGGCATGTTTCAGGGTCTTCAAACGATTGTCTTCGAGGCAGGCAGTTCCCTCAATAGGCATGAACCATTGCATGGGCCTATGAAGAGGGAGCTTGGAGGGAGGGTTTATTCCAACACCGTCGATGACTCTTGGGTTTACTGGTCTTCCTCTTCCTCGTTCCTCTTCCCTCTCCTTTTCCTACTCCTCCTCACTCCCTCCCTTGGGGCATCGACCGGAGAGCACCACTTACAGGGGGGGTGGGGGAATAGGCTCCGAGGGGGGGGGACAGGCAGAGGAGGAAGAGGTGCCAATACTATTGCCATTGCCTCGTGTTCTCCTTGTTGGGCCTCCTGGGAGGCCCTCGCCGTCACTGCTGGATTCGCCTCGAAATTATGGTCAGAACGCACCCCAGGAGAGGTCTTCGAAGTAGCAGTATAGGTACTGTTTGGTTTCCCCAGACAGGCTCGGGGGGATCGAGGTTCGAGGTTTTCGGACGTGTTCGTGGTTGATCGTCGTCTATCCAGCCTTGGGATGCCTCCCAGCTGCTACGCATCGCCCAGAGCATGTCCCTTGGCCCGTCTTGAGGGCCTCTTGTGCAAGATCGAGACCATCTTGGGCCGTCTTGTGGCTATCTTGGGCAGTCGTGGCTTGTCAGGGCCGTCTTGGAAGCCGTCTTTGGAATATTGGACGCCTTGAGGTACGCCAGGGAGGCGTCGGGCTGGCCAGGACGCCTCGGGAGAAGGAGGGGCCCTTAAACAGATGGCAAAAGCCCTGTCAGACATTCAGCACTTGGTATTCTACTACGCTTCAACGTGCCAGGGAACACTATTGCAAATCACATCCGGCACGCCGAGTACCCTTGTTGCAAACACAGGCGGCGGCGGATCGAAGACGCCTCTGGAACGCCTGCGTGGCCACATTGGAGACTCTCTTTGGCAATCTTCGAGACCATCTATGACCGTCTTGGGCCACCTTGGAGACCATCTCTGCCACCTTGCAGGCGCGGTTTCTTGATTTTGATGTGGTTTTGGTTGCGGACAGGCGTGGCGAGAGAGTACCAGGAACCGTTTGGAAGGGCCACAGCTATATTCAATCTGGTACGCCAACCTTCCTCCAGCAGGATTTGCAGTCAAGTTACTACCACAAGGACTTCATGTAAGGAACGCAGCCCCTCTTCTGCATTCAAAGCGTTTGGGTTCAAGAGGAGCGCTAGAGAAACAATCACGAATGGACCGAAGGAACGGCGATCCTTTTCCGAACCCGAATTGGTGTTTATTCCAGCGTCTTGGCTGTAGTGGCCTTCTGCTAATCCCGCCGCCACGCCTGGGTCGTAAACCAGAGGCTTCTGGGAGTCCTCGGGGGTGGGCTTCTGCGGAGGCTCATGAAGACATCTTGACGACCCCTTGGTGGTCGGGGCCGATTTCTGGCCACCGCACCCGCCCGCTTATTTTGTGCCAGGCCAGCTTGCTTGTAGCGGTGGTGTGCAAAAATCGTGCCCCCAGTGGATGCAATTTTTGTACACAGCCCCGCTCCAAGGTCTTTTGCCCGACAAGCTTGTTCGTGGGGGTGGTGTGCAAAAATCGTCTCCCCAGGTGGCTTGTTGAGGCGGTCGCTTCCGGACGTCCTGCAGGCCTGCTGCCGCTGGCCGTGGGGGCCACCTTGAGGTGGAGTGCTCCTGGCCCGTTCGAGGCCCATTTTTGGGGACCCCCTCTCGGAGGTCTCTCGGGCCCCTCTCCGCGGCTCTGTGGCCGCCTCTCGAGACGGAACAGCGACAGCAACAGCAATGTTCGGAGGCCCGCGCGGAGCCTTCTTGATCGGGGCTGGGCCCCCCCCAAGGCGCCTGTGGCGCCGCCCTTGGCGGGCTCCGCGCGCCAGGGAGGGTGGCCGGCGACGATCCGAGCAATCCGCTCGGATCTTCGAAGGTGTATGTTTCTGCAGTTGTTCTTTTCTACTCTTGCGCCCTTCTGGGGCTCGGTGGCCGTCTTGGGGCGGTCTTGGGAGTCTCGGGGGCCATCTTGGACGCGCTCGAGGCTGAAAAGCCGATCCTGCACAAGTCGCACCAAGCAGAGTGAGGAGTGAGGCCGAGTCGGAGCGGGCTCCTAAAGGCCGCAAGACGGCCTCGGAGACCCGTGAGAGGGCTCCAGGACGGGCCCCCGCGGGATCACCTTAGGGCCTGGCGTTCCGAGGTGTGCTTCCGAGGCCTCGAGAAAGTTCACGCGGATCATCATCATCAGCATTATCATAATCATCACCATCATCAGCAGCATCATCATCATCAGCTTCAGCTTCATCTTCAGCTTCATCTTCATTTTCTTCATCTTCATCTTTATATTTATCTTTATATTCATCTTCTGCATCGTCATCAGCATCATCGTCATCGTCATCGTCATCGTAGTCATCATCGTCGTCATCATCATCATCGTCATCGTCCGAGTTGCTCAGTAATCGTGAGGGATTGGATTGCGTGCGGGGCAAGAACTGGCTGTCTTTCGCGGAGCGGGGGGGAGAGCGTTCGGGGATGAGTTGGGTGCGCGTGAGGTGTGGGGAGTGGGGGATTGACTGCTGGGCTGAGTGGCTCTGAGGATGCTTACTGATAAACTCGGAGTATCCTAGGAGCGCCCGAGAGTGCCGAGGGTCAATCAGGAATCCTGCATGTTGGGGCCGTGGGGCTGCTAAAGAACGTTTGCACGACTCAATACTGGGGATTCTGAGGGACCTGAGGACACTCCACTCAGTGCATCGCCGCACGGTTGCGGATATTCGATGCATCCGAAAGCTCCACACGCAAGTTGCGAAACACAAATCCATGTGGTGGCCTACCTCTAACGCGGCAGTTCCTTCATTTCCATTTCGTCATCCGTGTTTTGGTCCTATTGCTCGCTTCTTCTCCCTACTTTTCCCGCCCCTCGTTCTCCGCTCCACGCCTCTCCTCTCCCTCCCCCTTCCAATCTCCCCCCACCCGTTCTGCGCCCCTCCACATCGCTTCCCCTCCCTCCAGTCCTCCTCCTCATCGTCCTCCTCTGACCCCCTCCTCCTCCCTCATCATCATCCTCATCCACATCATCACCATCATCATCATCATCATCAGCATCATCATCATCATTATCATCATCATTGTCATTGTCATTGTCATTGTCATTGGCATCATCATCATAATCATCATCATCATCATCATCATCATCATCATCATCATCATCATCATCATCATCATCATCATCATCATCATCATCATCAATCAGCATCATCATCATCATCGTCATCGTCATCGTCATCGATATCATCATCATCGTTGTCGTCATCATCATCATCGTCATCACCATCATCTGCCGCTTTGGTTCAAGCCATTTTGGCTGAAGTTCGGGACGAGCGACCTGTGGCTTCGAGCTTTATTGCAGCCAGAAGTCTGGCTCGAGAGCCGTGGTCAATAGGTGGCTGTTGATCCACCCTGTCTTATCCATAATGCGAGTCCCTGTCCCCTTTCTATCCTCTGACCGTCTGCATCCATGGGCGTCGATCTCGCGACCCTGGAAGAGATGCTCGCCGAGCATTTCAAGCGACTGGGCAGATGATCGGTAATGAGGTTCGGGGCACCAATGCCACGATCGCCATCCAAGGTCAGCCCGTCAAGGATTGGAGCTGCAGATTCGATGACATCACTGCTAAGCAGAATGCGGGTCAGGCTCGGCTGGATGCACCTGAGCAAGCTCAACAGATGGCCGCCTCTAGTTCCCCCGTGTTTCACTTGGTCCTCGGCAGGCGGCGCGCGATTGATACCCGTTCGAATGCTTCGACAGGCGCACCAGGGGAAAGCTCGGCCTTGCTCGCAGATTCCCATCGGCTCCCCATTCTCGGCGATTGGGATCGCCTGAGTAAGAAAGGTCACCCGGCGAATTCGAATGGGATTGGCGGAGGTGTCTTCGGGACGCGCTCGAGAAAGGACCCAGTCCCGCTGTTTCAGGTGAACTGCCGCCTGCAGAAGCCCCCTTGTATTGCACATGTCCGAGGATGATGCAGGCATCCGTGCGCCCGCAGTTTGTGCTGAATTTCTTGGATTCGTTTGGAACGGGTCCCTTGCGTCCGTTTCGAGGATGAACTTGACCGGCCAGGTCGTCCTAGTCCTCCTTTGGCCCTCGGTTCAGTTTTGGTAAAGCGTTTGGTTGATGCAGAGGGCCTCAATATTTCGTCTTTTAGCTACGCGGACCTGGAGTCGGGTCAGCCTGGTCACCACTCTTGCGATGGGGGGCGCGCTACTTGAACAACAAAGTCTTCATCACCATCACCTTCACCACCATCATCATCATCATCATCATCATCATCATCATCATCATCATCATCATCATCATCCTCATCCTCATCCTCATCCTCATCCTCATCATCATCACCACCACCATCATCATCATCATCATCATCATCATCATCATCATCATCATCATAGTCGTCATCAGCGTCATCATTTTTCCATGTTTTCTGCGTTCTCTTCCCCATTCGCTTGGAGCAAACCGCGGCTTCACAGTGTTCTATTGAGCCGTCTGGTTTTGCGCCCCCTTCGTAGCGCGATGCGTCTCTTGTTCGCGCGCCGCCTTCCGCCCGCTACTTGCGAGGGCACGCTCGACGTGGGCGTGCTCGAGAACTCTGGGGTGCGGGGGGCTGGGGAGGGGGGTGAGGTGGATGGGGAAAAGTGAACGGGGAACTGAAGGCTGAGGGACAATGGGGGTGCGACGGTGGGCCGTTTTGAGGGCCTCTTGGGGGCATCCTGGGCCGTATTGGCGGGCCTTCGGGTGTTCGGACGCGAGAAAAGGTGAAAACGAGCAAACCCGTCAACAGCCTAAGTCACATCAGTGGGTTGTGCCTTTTGGGTTCATCTTGGGGCCCTCGTGGTGCGTTGGGGGGCCTAGTGGGCAGCCTTGGCATCATCATGGGCCGCCTTGGAGCGCGCATGTGTCGTCTCGGGGCCTTTTGTTGACCATTTCGGGACCGCTTTGGTAACCCCTTTGGCCTGTCTTGCGGCTCTCTGGCTTCGGAATGGAGCCATGAAGCCCCAAAGGGTCTGCGGGAAGCCCTTGTGAATCCAGAGAAGAGTGGGAACCTTGGATGTCCTGGGGACACCGTTTCGTGCCTCGATGTACGATGTGCTGTATGTGCCTACGCGCACACATCTATGTATATGTGTGTAGATGTGTGTAGACACCTGTTCACGTGAATTTGAATACGTGTGCGTATGGTTGCGTGTCTAATGGTCTGTGTGGAATGACCATTGGCCACGACTTGTGTAGACAACATTTTGTAATGGCAGTTGCGTCAGGCCCCCTCCAACTACTAAAAACCTAACGCACCTTTGACACAGATCGCGACGCCACGGTCCAAGCACCACACGAATGTTCAACATGGTTGGCCTTCACCTTCTTACACACAAATGTTTGCTATCGTCAAGACGCTCATCACGGATAATGTTTTCTAAACGCTCCCGTGTTTTCAACAGGCCACCTAAACGGTTCGAAACCACGTCTTTTCAATTCTTGTGTGATCACTAATGTCTTACATGCAGATGTGCTATTCATTTGGCCGAGGCACTTTTGCTTACTCAAGTTTCTTTGGCATACTTGTTCAGCATAATAGCCGAATGCACTTAAAAACACACTGGTGACTGAATGGCTTTGCGCGCCCCATGGCGAACCATAGCTTTTTCTTCTTGCCCTACACGTTCCCCATTCATGACTTTGCTAGTTCTGTATGAGCCTGGGCACGCACGTGACACTTGTATAGGTAGACTGCGCAAGGGAGGCCCAAAGTCGGTGCCATGGTGCAGCATGAATGGACTGGACGGCCTCAGGCCACCCCGACCGGCCGGTCCAGGAAGTCTCCAGGCAGCCCTGCCCGACGCCGAGTCCGCGGCACAATGTTGGACGATGCCCGAGGGGTCCATCATGGAGGTCTCGCGTCCTCCTCCGTCGGTGTCTTGGATGACGGAGTCGGGATGTTCTAAAGTAGTAAAGGTCATTGGAAGGCAAGTTTTGAATGTTCATGGCCTTCTCGACGTCTATGTCTCGATGGCGTCTCAAGAGTACCCAGAAGATGTCTCACATATTACATAGGGTCCTCCATGGGGGTTCCTTGCGTTTCGACCGGCTCTGACCTCGTCCGCGATCCGTCAATGGCGGTTCAAGACCCTCCAGCACCCAGAGCTGACCCCTCAGTGTCGGGCGGCGTTCCAGGGGTATGTTCTGAAGTTTGCCTCGGGTCCTGTGAGGCCGTCCTGGGGAGCTGGTCGACAAGGCTAAAAAACATTATCCCAGTGCGACCCTACCTAGGAGTTGGAGCCTCTAGGAAAGAAACATTAGTAGGAGCGTTAAACGCCGTCCTCCTCCTCCTCCTCCTCCTCCTCCTCCTCCTCCTCCTCCTCCTCCTCCTCCTCCTCTCCTCCTCCTCCTGAATTAGTGGATGCTATGCTGCGCTATGCTATGCTATGCTATGCTATGCTATGCTATGCTATCCTATGCTGCGCAATGCTATGCTGGGCTAGGCTTGGCTAGGCTATGCCATGCTATGCTATGCTGCGCTATGCTATGCTGCGCTATGCTATGCTATGCTATGCTATGCTATGCTATGCTGCGCAATGCTATGTTGGGCTAGGCTATGCTATGCTATGCTATGCTATGCTATGCTGCGCTATGCTATGCTATGCTATGCTTTTGATTTGCCTTCGCTTTTGCCTTCACGTTTGCATTTGCTTTTGCTTTTGCTTGGCACCCAGGGAGCGCAACTCGGGGAACCGCGCGTTTGCTTTTACCTTTGCTGTTGCTTTTGCTTGGCTCCAAGGGGACTGGGGGAATCGCCCGGGGCGGTTTCCACTGCCCGGCCCCTTTAAGCTACAGAGTAAGAACTTTTCTAGGCAGAGCTTAGGTAGGGAATAAGAACGAATGTTGTTATTCAACCAGTTGGCTTTCTCGCCTTGTCGATGGCAGGAGCTGTCAGTAATTCTGGACGCCCTGAGGCTGCTCTTCCGCGCGCCGATTCCACGCAGCAGAGTCGGACGACGCCCCAGGGGTCCGTTTTGAAGCCCGCTATGAGCTTCCGAGGGTCCCAGTAAGGGTGAATTTGTTGATGAAATCATTATACCATATGTGTCAAGATAAGTTCGTGTTTAATGGGTTTGGCCTTCTCGCGACTTCGGTCGTCACAGCGTACAAGATCGTCCCACGACTAGCCACAAGCTCCCACTTATGGCCCAAGGTGCTTCCAAGAGGAACCCAAGAACGATCCGAAGGGGGAGTGTGGACCTGCTCTTCGAGTCAGGCCGCCTCCCAGTCTCACAGACGCTTGCAGAAGCCTCAAAGAAGTTCCCAAGGGCGCCCCGAGAGGCCCTCGAAGACTCGAAGAGGCCCTCGAGAAACCCCCGAGATGCCGCACACGAGGCCTCCGAGAGGCTACCCCAGCCAGGGCCGGAGAGGTTCTCCCAAAGCACCCCGTGTGGCCAACGCGGCCGCAGGTAGCACAAGAAGGCCCTCAGAGCCCGGGGGCGCCCGCAGAGGCCCGCCGCATTCCCCGGCACACGCTCTCGCACGGGCCCCGGGCATCTCAGAGCGTGAGCTACCTACCCCGCTTTCGCCTCCAGGCAAAGCCAAGTCACACCACGCGCCTCCTCGTCAAGCGGCCTGACCTGTGCAGGCCGTAGTTTGGCATCGCTTGGTACCTCTTGGAAGCGAGGGTGGTCAAAAGCGAGGTAGGCCTGTTTGCCCCCCGGTATCAGCTGTCTTTTGCCGAGCGGCACGTTGCGCCTGGGAATTTCAGATTCGAAGTTCCTGGAAAGCTCTCTCGGTGAAATCTCTCGGGAACGTGCGCAGAAGCCTCTCGAGGAACATCGGTCGAATCGTGAGGAGGGGGAGGAGAACAACGTGCTCGAGGCAGGAGGCAGGGGAGAAGAATTGGAATTCGACACTACCTTCTACCAGCCCCCTAGAGGCCGCCCAAGAAGCCACACATAGCTCAACAGGGCCCTACGATCCCATGTGGACGTGCCTGCCATGAGAAGTCTAGGAACATCCGAGTAACCTTTCGAATCGAGAGGACGAGGATAACAGGTGACGAGAAGGAGGGGAAGGAAGAACAATGCGGGATGCATGGGAGAAGGACCGCAACTCGACGAACCTGCACCCAAGCAGATTCGAATATGTTACCGAACAAGCCACAAGTAGCCCAATAGGGCCTTACGATCCCAGATGAATGTCCCCCCTCACCTAAGGGCATCTGTTCCTGGAAACCTCTTTGGTCGTCGCGCCCAGAAGCTCATCTTGGAGCACAGTTCGAATCGAGAGGAGGAGGAGGAGGAGGATAACGATCGATGAGGACGGGACGGTCGACGAAAGCAGCAGGTTGAAGAGAAGCAAAGGCATCCGAACCGACCCCAAAGCGGCCTCCTAGCGGCCGCTCAACAAGCCACAAGGGCTTTAGCGTCCCAGGTGGACGTCCTACAGCCCCTGATGGAGCCCGACCGCCGCTTCTGTCGAACAAAGACTGTGCCCCAGAACATGCATTCCCCAGCCGCCGTTCGCGCACGGGCCTCATATTCGCTGCTCTCCGCCGACCGACGCTGCGTCACGAGGCTGGCGCACGGCGTGTATGTTCATTTGGGTGTCGTCGTGCCTTTGCCTTTGCGGTGAATGCGTGTCGCCACGGCTGGACTCCACTGCACTTTTGCAGCCGTTCTTCAGCCTCGCAGCAGCCGCCCGATATTTAAGGCAGCGTGAGCAGCAACCAACTCGAACACGCTGTGTGGGATTGATCAAGTGCCTGCAGACAACGTCCCTGGAGCCGACTATGACCTAAACGCGCGTGTAGCACGCATGTGGCCCCAGATTTACATATGCTGATACGTGGATGCAATCTCGTTGTCTGCGTGTCTGGTCTAGTGTAATGCGCACGTTCTTGCCTTCTGCCTCTCCGCATTCCATTTCGGCCAGCAGGTTGTCATACTGATGTCGTCTTCTCGCACTATCCGATCACGGGGTCAGAGGGTGTCTCCAGGCAAGTTTCTCTGGCAGGGGTTCGATATCTATGTGGCGCGAGGACACCGCGGGCCGCATCATCTCTGTGTTCGTTACAGCGTGCTTGGCCTTTCCTTGCCGCTCCTATTGTTCAGAATGGGCGGCGGCGAGCCCGGGGTGGAAGTGAGTAGGGGCGGGCCTTTTCAGACAGCTCGGAAATGGCCTTTTTCAGACGGCTTGGAAGCTCCCCCAGTCTTCTGAGAAGCTCTCTAAGCCTTCCCCTGGAGACAAAACCTCTCAAAAGGCTCGATGGCTTCTGAGAAGTCTGGCCGCCATCTGAGAAGGCCTTTTCCTTCTCACTTCCCCCCCTCACTCGCCGCCGAATTAGGCGACCAGCTTTTGGCCGATACGCTGGTAACTCCGCGTTGGGTATGATCTGATTGTCTTGTGGCGTTCAGTAATTACCATTGGCTGAAAGCTTTAAAGGCAGCGCAATCTACTTGAAGTGTTGAACGTCCGTGTAGAGGCAAAACCATGGCGTCGATGGCTTGCATCGTGCGCATCGTTCTGACTGTGTTATTTGCTGAGGTCGCCCTGCCACTGCAGGCTGCAATGCTGCACAAGCTCAAAAACCAAGCTATGCTCAAGCGTGATTGCACCACGTCGACTCTTTTCAAGAAGAGGTATCGATTCCACCCCCCATTCGAGCCCAGCCTTAGCGAACCCCATTGCTACACTGGAAAGTATAAGTTATTATGCCTCCTCATATGAGTTCGCGCCATCCCAGCCACACAGCCACACCCGTATCGTCCCCCCGTTCGCCCTTGTCAAATGAAGCTATGCGCGCTCACTCGTTTGTCAACACAATATTAATCAATCAGATTTGGCAACAACTTGCACGGATTTCACACGCGTGCGCAACATCAGACCAAGCATATGTTTGTGCAAGCTTGCATGACGCGCCGAAGTTTCTTTCATAACATCTCTTGCAGATTTTCCGCCAACGCGCAATTTGCTGGAATCATGGGAAGCCCATCTGATTTCAGTAATCCCACACGCGGTGCATCCGCGTTGATCTAGAATTGCCCTGTGCGCGAGGCCGTATCGATATTCCATGCGGGGCGCGCGCGCGACGCCACGCGCGTGTGCCGAAATCCGTCAACACATGGTTCTCGAATAATTTCAAAATCGAAATTGTTGAGCACACGTGAGCACGCAGTTGTGTTTCAACGAAATGTCTGCCAGGTGCTGTTGCTTTCTCCAGCGCGCGCACTTTCTCACCATCACCCTCAGCAGCGCCAACGCATCACCACCGTCACCGTCATCGCCGATTGCCGCCACTGCAGCGGTCATCAGTCAATCGTCTTCATTACCGATACCTGGATATCATCGTCGTCGTCACCAGCACTGGCGCCATTCGCACTATAACGCCCACGCGCCAGTGTTGCGTTTGAGGCGCGCCGGGGAGTTCCAATTGGTGAGCGCCATCGCGGCCGCGTCGGCTGTGCCAAACCAGCTGGCCGCTCTGCGCGTGATCTTGCGCGCGCTAGCGCAGCAGCAGATGCGACAGCCAGAGTCAACTAGTCACCGCAATCGCGGCCGCATGGGTTGTGCAGAACGAAATGCGGGTGGGAGGGCGGTATGATTGCGTGAGCAGTGGCGTTGACGTTTTCAATTGTTGCAAGGTGCATTGCACCAAGTATATTGCACAATATAGCGTAGTTTGCACCACAGAGCTTACACCACATAGCTCACACCACGAAGATTGTGCAACCTGGTTGATTTCACAGAACTTGCTCCGCATAGATCGCACCATCTAGTCTGCGCTATATCGCCTGTATTACGCAGATCGCACCATGGATATCAGGCAGTCAAAGCAATAGTAGGATCCAGCGCTCCCAGAGCCTGGATTTCGCGGCGCCCCTTGGTACATTGTTGTTTACATGTGATTCCGTGCCGTCGTCCGTTTTCTATGCGAACCCGCCCAGCCCAGCCGGTGTCGACCCCCCCCCCCCCCGTCATCCTTGTCAGATAATGTTATGCGCGCGAACAACTGTTGCCAAGAGATTTGCTTGCCGAATCCATTGCGGATAATGGCACAAAGTTCATTCGCGCGCGTACATGCCGCAACCATACCAACGATGTCATCTTTGCAAACCACTCAGCTTAAAAGCATGAACAACCATTACACTTACCATTGCCCGCGCGCATTTGCTCAAATCTTGGGGAGAGGGCTTTCTACCACCACGGGCACCCCCCTCGGTTCGAACCCATGGAGCTGGGATACAATTAACCCCTCCGAATCAGAAGGGGGAGAGACATCCCCCCCTCTGGTTGGGACCCAGGGGGTAGGGGGGAGGGGGGGGGGAAGCTCCTCCCCCTCTCCCCCAGATGAGAGCCACCCTAGTCGATCCAAATTTGTCCATGACGATTTGAAACTGTTGTTTGATACATATATATATATGGATTGCATAACTGCTCGAATCGGAAATTCAAAATATGAAGTACAAATGACAAGATCAGGGCAACAACACCAAATATGAAAATCCCAAACGAACAATCATAAAGACAGGCATGGCAATCCCAAGGTAACAACACCAAGCATGAAAATCCCGAGCCGCACAAGTCAAAGCGACAATGAAACTCTCAGGGTAACAAAACCGAGCATGAAACTCCCAGACGCAAAGTCAACATGGCAAACATGAAACATAGCATCAACATCATCATGCCATCATTATTCTCATCATCGTCACATCGTCGCCGCGCCCATTTCGGCGCACCCCTCACGCTGTTGGTGGCCCCATGCGGGGCTCAGCCGAAGGCCCCAATTGGAGTGTCCGCATGGCGGCGCCGCGCCGAATTCGGCGCGGCGTGCCCCTCACGCGGGTCGTTGCCCACCGCAGGCCTTTATGGGAGGGCGCGCAAAGCGTCGCCGCGCCCATGTCGGCGCGCCCCTCACGCGGCATTTTGCCGCCTCGCCTATTTTGGCACGCCTTCACACGGCTCGTGGCCCCACAAGTCACAAGGACGTCCACCGAACGCCCCAGTGTAAGAGTCCCCACCCACGGCGTTGCCGCGCCCATTTCGGCACACCCCTCAGAGATTGGACATCGCGGGTGACAGTTTTTAGCAATCTTGTCCAGAATTAATATTTTTATCTCACCGCGCGGTGTTTGGTGTATCCGCGTTGGTCCACCATGCGCCCAGTGCGCGACTCCGTATCAAAGAACACCATGCGAGCCACATGCGCGAGCCGCCACGCGCGCCGTCTCGAAATCAGTCCAAAATTAATGGTATTCGAATAAATTCAACATCGGGCTCATCAAATACATATGGACTTACAAACAACCACGTTTCTGCCAACACACAGTTTGTCAACTCTCTTGGATTTCTGCTCTCGCGCGCTTTCTCGCCATCTCCCCCGTCAGCGCCATCGCATCATCACATGATCGCCGCCACCACCACCTTTACCACCGGCACTTGGACATCATCATCATCATCGTAATCATCATCATCATCAGCAGCAGCAGCAGCATCAGCATCAGCATCACCACCATCGTCATCATATGATTCATCATCATCGCCACCACCATCATCATCACCATCATCATCATCATTAGCAGCAGCAGCATCACCCTCGTCATCGTTATCGTCAACGTCGTCACCAGCATCGGCACCGTCATTGGCCTTGCCGTTGTCCTCGTCATCGTCACAGCCATCAGCGTTACTACCATTACCGTTGCCGCCGTTGCCGACGTCATCATGACACCGCTCCAGCCCGACTCACCGACCCGCACTGGAGTGCCCGCGCGCCAGCGCGGCCTCCGAGTCGTGTCGGGGTGTTCTCATCGGCAAGCGTCGTCGCGTTGGCATCAGTTGTGCCACACCACATGGCCGCTCTGCGCGCGAGCTTGCGCGCGCCAGCGCTGCCGCGGACACGCGCCAGCCAGCGCCAGGGCTTTGGCAACTCATTTGCAGTTCAGATGGTGGGATGCTCGAGCGACCAGCGGAGTTGAGAACTCACTACTTACACACATCCATTGCACCGCATCCACTGCACCAAACTCAACATGGCTTGCACCACCTGGTCAGACCACACAGCCCACACACCCAAGGTAGCATAATGGATTGCGTGTTGTCTGCGTTGTTTGATATGTGTTGCTTTAGGTTTATCGTCTACAGGCCAGGAAAAGGGGGGCAATGTCAATGCGTGTCGCCACTCTCGAGCCCGACACGTCGCTTCGTAGGGCACTCTTGGGCGTGTGTGGGGCCGTCTTGGACCCTATTGGACCCATCGTGCGGCTCACTTAGGCTTCTTTGGAATCATATTGCGGCCCCAGGACACGGTCGGAAACGAGGAGGCGTGCATGCAAACATCGTGTTTGTTTTTTCGTTCCGGGAGGACGTGTGCTTCTTGGGGGAGCATCCTTGAGGGGTGCCGTTGTTTCTCGGAGCAGTTCTTTGGGAGGGGGGGTGTTCGGGGGCCCCTTTCTTGCATTTTTGGATGCAGCTTTGAGTTGTTGTTTTGTGCGATCTTGGAGGCAGTCTTGGGGTTCCTTGGGCCCTGTTGGAGCTATATTGGGCAACATTGGGTGCTCTATCGCCTCCTCCCCCACGCACCCGTCAAGACCCAGCGGAAGGGAGTCCGAAGGATGGGCAAACGCTTCCAAGACGGGGGAGATCGGTGTTTGGAAGAACTAATTACCGTTGACCAGAGCCTCCCAGAGGGATGGTGTGATTCATGCCGCATGAGTTAGCCTGTACGAGTGCACTCGCGGTGTCCATTAGATGAAGGGCGACGTTCAATAGTGTATTATTGGATATGTATTCGTTGCGTCTTCTTGAGGCAGTTCCCGTTTACCATCCATGGTTGTTCGGCAATCGTGTGGGGCAGATTCGAGTTTTTGGATGATATTTTTGAGGGGAGCCGTCGTGAGGCATCAATGGACATCATGTTGCGGCAATGTTAGGCGTTTGCTGGACCGTCTTAGGCGAAATGGATGCATATCCGACCGCTGGGGGCCGATGTCAACGCCATTTTCAGAGCACAATGGGGCCTCGGAGAAGGATGGCTTTAAAGGCATCTGGGGTCTTTTCGGAAACGTCTTATTCGCCACATATCTACATAAGCATGTGTGTACAGACACTGTACAGACATGTATATTGACCCAAGGCGTGCAACTATACATACACAAATGTACATATACACACTTGTGTCGAGTGCATGGGGAACAATATCTCATTCAATGATCACTTGTCCCAGAACAAGATCTTGGATACCCCATGGTGGAATCTCAGCAGGTGTTTGCTGTACACCGATTATGAGAGGCCGCCCAAGGGGGCACGGCCTGGGGGCGTGTTTCCAAGTGTATTCGACTGATCGCAGACAGTTCATGCCCGACGTCTTGTGTTAATGTGCAAGTGTTTTATGAGCTGCGTCGGATTGGTGCTTCCTGTCCCGTACTTTGCATCACGATCATGACCTGCTTCTTCCTCTCGCAGGTTTGCTGAGCGGGAGGGAGCGGTATCGACTGTCAGTTCGCGCGCGACGGGCGGCTACGGTGCCTAGCCCTTCCGGACGTCGGGTTCTCCGAGGGCTCTGGCGCGTTTGGCTCAGGAGAGCATTATTACCAGCCTGGAACATGTCCCTATCCCTATGCTGGGCATCTCTTCGTCACGATGCCAATATTATAGGGCTTCCCTTACTTTTTGAGGGCGAATCCCTAAGATTGTCATCGCCTTTTGGCGTGTCAATCTTAGGGATAGGGATGCGTTCGAGGCTGGTAACATTCAGCTCCAGGTCTCCTGGGGCAGTGGAGCTCCCAGACAGCACTCGGTGCTGCTCCTGCGACCGTCGGAGGCCCGTGGCCCGCCCGCGCTGCGTCCCCGGCCTGTGGGCGGACGACCCGTCGACCCGCGCGGCGTTCCCTGCCTGCCGGGCCGTGGGCCTCGGCCCCGGACCGATGATGATGATGATGATGAGGAGGAGGAGGAGGAGGAGGAGGAGGAAGAGGAGGAGAAGGAGGAGGAGGAGGAGCAGAAGGAGGAGGAGGAGGAGGAGGAGGAGGCCCCCTATCCCTATGTTTGACATCACCTCACCTCGATGCCGATCGTAAGGATGCCCTCAGGTTTCTGAGGGCCTATCCCTGAGATTGTCCTCGCTTTTTGCTCGCCCATCTTAGGGGTAGGGATACGTTCGAGGCTGGTTATCGCCCCCCCCCCCCCGCAAGGACGCCCCCCCCCCCCGCCAGGACACGACCGCGGACTGCGACCCAGCCGCGGCTGCCACCGCCGCCGCAGCCGGCGCGGGCGAGCCCACAGGCGCCTGCGTTAGCGGACGTTTGGCGTGTGGGGGGCACCAGGGTTGATGGGCCTGTTTTCCACCACCACCACCATAAGTTGGAGGGGGGGAAGGAGGAGGAAAGGAGGAGGAGGAGGAGGAGGAGGAGGAGGAGGACCCCCTCCCTTTCCTACCTATGGTGGTGGTGGTGGAAAACAGGCCCAGCAAGGGTGGAGAGTCAGAAGAGGACGAGGGACTATGTCCGATTCCGCTGCTCGTCCTGGAGGGCCCTCGTCGCCACGGCCGGCTTCTTCTCAACCTTCTGGCCCGGAGGCACCCCAGGAGAGATCCGAGGAGTCTGATAGTGAGGGCGCGGGTCGGGGGCGGACAGAACCCCCAACAGTGACACGTCGATTAGTGAATTGTCCGTTTTCGGTTCTCGAGATGGCGCCGCGGCCGTTATTTTCCAGGCTTGCGCCCGCCAGGTTTGGGCCTCAGGTCGTTTTCACTAAACCACGTTTTACTAAAGGGGGTTCTGTCCATCCCCGAGCGGGTGATCATAAGTGGGAGAGTGAGGGTGTGGCTGTGGATGCAGATGGAGTGATGGTGAGGATGAGGGTGATGAGGGGCCGAGGGGGTCTGGGGCGAACGGCCACGGAGCGGCAGTAGACATGGGGGGATCTGAGGATTGCAGGAGTGCAGCCCAGTGGGCCCAAATGGGTCCTGAATGGCCCCTAGATTGCCGCCGCAGGCCGACAAGGTGCACGCTTCTTCCCCGTTGATGACTGTCCCATACTGGCGAACGCCGAAGGGAGGGAGGGAGGGAGGAAAGGGAGGCTGCAAGGCAGAGGAGATGAGGTAGATCGAAGCAGGATCCTGAGCAGCAGCAGGAAATGCAGGTAGGGAGGAAACGACGAGGGGGGCGACTTCAGGCTTTCTCACGCTCTGCCGCTCAAGAGGCCATCCTTGGGAGAGCTGGCCAGCAAGCTTTTGCATCAGGACCTTGACGGAGGCCATCTCTCGCTCCCTGAGGCCCTCTTGGAGCCATCTTGGGCCATCTTGGACGCTGCTATGGGTCGCGCCCCCCCCGTCCAAACGCATAGAGGGGGGGTAGGTAAACCTCCCAAGCAGGGACAGGAAGGAGGTTGGAAAAGGAAACGCCCTTGACCACCTGCGCCCAGAGGGCTGGTGGGATTATGCGCCTGCGGCGGGTTCGTTGTATAATTTGTGAGAAGTAGGCGCCTGTGGCGGGCTTCTCCGGAGCCTCGCAGACTGCCGACGTCCTCGCCGCCCTTTCACTCTTATCCGCAACTGCAGGGTGCAACGTAGTCTCCGCCGCGACGGCGACAAAGATGACGAGGAGGAGGAGGCGGAGGAGGAGGAGGAGGGGTGAGTTCATTCCCCGCCTAGGAGCAGGACGAACCAAGACTAGAGAACTCCTGAGGTTACCAAGGAAGCGCCCTAGCCTTGCCAAGGCTAGGGCGCTTCCTTGGGGAACCCGAAGGTGCCTGCCAGGACGCTTCCCTGGGTAGCCCCCATCGGTCGCCTCACCGAGCACCCAATGCGGCGAGTTCACCAGCAACGCCTTCCCCGCCGCCCCGCCTGCGACACGCCGCACCTGGCTCGCCCGCCGCCGTGGGGATGATGCCAGCGGCCTCCTGGAACCGCACCTTCGTCATGCGCGGTTCCCCTAGGTGCGGGCTTGCTGCAGCAACGGCCTCCGGCCCAGCCAGCACTGCTGCCGCCCTCCTCTCCCTCTCTCTCTCTCTTTCTGTCTCGCTCTCTTTCTCGGGTGGAGGGTCATCGCCACACCAAGGTTGACTTTCCCTTTCTCTGCCATCGCCAGGCTTGGGTTGGCGGAGCATGCCTCTCTGAGCGCGCCAGCCCCCGGCGCTCGGAGGGGAAGGGCCAGCCAGCCTCGGTGGTCAGCATGTCGGGCCCCCGGTCATGCGCCGCGCCGCCACGATCCACCCGCAGCTGCGCAACTGCCAAGTCGGCCGCCGCGGCCGAGGACGGCGGGCTTGCCTGATGCCGAGAAGCTTTGTCTCCGTCGGTCGTCCGACATGTTTGAATATGTTTCTTACCCCGCAAGGCATCGGGTGAAGCTCCAGGCTGGCCGCTGGAGTTGTTTGAGTTGCGCAAGCAGCTACGAATCCCGATGCCGCTTGGTCAGAGATCGATGCCCTGGAGTTCCAGCTACGTTGGTTCAGGCGCATTGGTCCCATCGTTTGAGGTGGCCAGGCGACGCCGAAGATCTCATATGATGCTCCATGAGTGGAGCATTCGCGAGGCGCCAGGTTTTGAGTTTGGGGGAGGCCTTCCCCGAACACCCCGCTTCTGGTCACGGACGCGCCATGCGAACACCAAAGTCTGGGGTCGACCCCGCCTCCCGACGCCCCATCCCAATGTCCAACCTAGTGATGCCTCACTAGCATCCCTGCCATCTCGGGTGGGTTCAGGGGCTCTATGAGGTGACGGCCGAGCGGAGGGACATCGATTGGGAGGTTCAAGTTGTGTGGAGCATTTTGCCCGGGGGCTCCTGTCACATCGTGGCGATGACCTGTGGTGGCTTTGTGGCCCGTGGGGGCTCTTTCTGTGGGTCTTTCACCGAGACGGAACGGAAGTGGTAGAGAGGAGCAGCAGCTGCAGGAGGAGGCGGGCGAGCGCCGCGCGGTCGCCCTCCCACCCTGCGCCCTGCAGGCGACAAGGCGCCCGCCGCCTCCGCGCACGCCCCCGCGGACCCGGGCGGCGCGGCGGCCGCGCGCGAGGAGGGCGCCGCGGCGCCCGCCGGAGGCTCGGAGGCGCGCCGGGGCGCCCGCCCGTGCCCAGCGGCCGTCCCTCGGTGGCTCCGAGGTGGGGTTTGTGAGGGGTGGGGTCCCGAGAGGGCGAGGTGCCCGAAGCACTGCAGGTGTTTGCCCTTCGGCCCCCTCCGAAGGAGGAAGCGGGGCATGGAGCAGGATCAGGCGAAGGCGAGAAGGAGGTGGAGGAGGAGGAGGTGGAGGAGCAAGGAGGAGCAGGAGGAGGAGAGCAGAAAAAGAGAGGGAGGGTCCAGGCCCCTGGGCGCGATGCATCGCCGCCCTGCCGTCCAGGGCCCACGCTGTCGCCGGGAACCACCGGGTCCCGCGCCCCCCCAGGGGAGCGACGCCACGTGGGGCTGGGCTCGTCAGGCTTCGAGGCTGCGGCTCGAGGTCCGCGGTTCCCTGGCGCTCGCCGTCGGTTCTCGCCCGGGCCCTCGGGATGCCTCGTCAGCGGCCGTGCCTCGCCGGGAGCGTTCGGGGGGGCCCAGGTCGTCCCGACGGGCCGCCGGGGAGCCGAGATGTGATCCCCGAGCCAGGGGGCAACGTTACGGGGAGGGGTAAGCTCAGGGGGGAACGCATCGACCCCCAACCGCCCATTGATCGCCGATGAGGGCTTGATAGCCCGCTCGTGCCGACCGACAGTCCCACGCTCCCTTCTTCTTTTCGATGTATGTTGCAAGTCGGCATTAGCAGAAGCTTTCGGAGGTCCGCGCAGATTTCTCGGCTTAGCGCCGTTAGCGGGTCAGCGCGGACCCAAGAAATCCGCGCGGGCTTTCGACAGTGGTTGTTTGTACAGTTCTCTGTTTTTTTCCGATTGCTTCCTTGTCTTCCTTTGGGGCAAGAGGGGTGGAATGTGGCTCAGGGGGGATGCATCGACTCCCAGCCGCCCATTGATCCCCGATAGGAGCCTGATAGCCCGGTCGTGCGGACCGACAGTCTCACGCCCGCGTCCTCTCTGTCTCTCTCTCTCTCTCTCTCTCTTTGGCCTGTCTGTCTCTCATTATCTCTTTCTCGCGCGCTCTCTTTTTTTTTCTCTCTCTCTCTCTCTCTCTTTCCGCTTCGCCTGAAAAGCAAAGACGACATGAACATACATGTTCGGAGGTCAGCGCAGAATTATTGGGGCGGTGTTGGGCCCTCCTGGCGGCGTCTTCGGCACCGCCCCTGGCGCGGGGTCCAGCGCCGACCCATGGAAACTTTGCGGACCTCCGACATGTGGAGAAGCCGAGCGGGCTTCGAGCGTCTGCACCAGGATCGGATCAGTGCGCGGAGAGAGCATCTTGGGGGAGCGTGATGTATTTGCCTCAGCAGTTCAAGCATGTCGAGAGCGCAAATACATGGAGCAGGGTGCGTGGATTAGCGGCGAGTCCCATTGCCACGCATAATCGACTCTCTCCGTCGCCACTTCAGGTGGCATTGCTTGAAGATTGCCGAGGGTATGCTTCCAGATCCATGGATGTTGCGCCCACGCGCCAAATCCAGGAATCGGATGTGGAGTCGCGGGCGGGGGCGGCGGCGGGGGCGGGGGCGGAGGCGGAGGAGGAAGCTGAGGCGGAGGAAGAGGAGGGGGAGGAGAAGGAGGATGAGGAGAACGAGGAGGAGGAGGAGGAGGACGAGGAGGAGGAGGAGGAGGAGGAGGAGGAGTACGAGGAGGAGTAGGAGGAGGAGGCGGAGGAGGAGGAGGAGGAGGAGGAAGAGGAGGAGGAGGAGGAGGAGGAGGAGGAGGAGGAGGAGGAGGGAGGAGGAGGAGGAGGAGAGAGGAGAGGAGGAGGAGGAGGTGGGAGGAGGAGGAGGAGGATGGGTGGAGGAGGAGGAGGAGGAGGAGGATGGGAGGAGGAGGAGGAGGAGGAGGAGGGAGGAGGAGGAGGAGGAGGAGGAGGAGGAGGAAGAGGACGAGAAGGGATAGAAGGAGGAGGCCCGCCCTAGCACAGGGAAGCAGGTCTTGGAAGATATGGGGTCCTGGAGGTCCCTGGCCGTTCTGGGCCCCAGAGGGGTCGCCCTCGGACCCCGCGGCCGCCAGAGAGCGGCTCGGCATGAGGAACTGGCTCCTGGGGACCCCTTGTGGATCCGGGACCCGTCGTTCAGGCGAGGGAAGGGTACCAGTGCCGCAATTCCTGCCTCTTGTCGCCTTTTGGGGCCTCCTGGGAGGGTCTCGTCGTCACCGCTGAATTTGCCTCGAAATCCTGGTCAGAAGACACCCCAGGAGAGGTCTGGGGAGTAGCGGTATCGGTTTTGCTTGGTTTCCCCAGTCTTCTTCGTAGGGAGCATCCTCTCTCCATTTGCTGCACTCTCCTCTCGCCGTCCCTCCTCACCATCCCCTTTCCTCCGTTTCCCCTCCCACCCTTCGCGTACCTAGGCCCAGAGCTAGACTGGGTGCATGTACACGATGCACCAAGTAGTACGTGTAGCGTGCAGTGCAGCTGGCTGGCGACGTGTTGGGCTCGGTTTGTCTTCCCCTGCCTCTCCCCTTCCCCTCTCTCCTGTCCTGTCATCGTCCCCCCGCACTCCGCTTTCATCTGCCTTTCCATCATGGCAGCACCGCGCGTGCGCCTGCTCAGGTGGAGCCGAAGCTGGGATCCTGAGTCGCACGGAGTCGCCGAGTGACTGTAGGTTGTATGCAGCAGCTGCGCTGGAGTGGCGGCGCCAGCTTGCGCAGATACTTCAAACGCTCGGCGTGTTCCCGCCAGCCCATCAGGCGACCAGTGCCTCCCTTGACTTCTGACCTCGCTTGGTCTCGCGCGGCCTAGACTGGCGTGGACGCGCTCTTTGTCGGCACCCGACTCCCTGTCATCGAACTTGTCGCCCTCCTGCTCTGCTCTGGAGCCCTTTTTCCCTCGTCTCGTTCTTCACTGCTGTCCCCCCCTGTGTCACCGCCTGCGTGTCCGCAGTCGGCGGGCGGCAGGGCTGCGCACACGTGGGTGCCTCGCTCTCTGGCCCGGTATACTCGTGAGTGGTATGGCCCGGTCTGGTCGGCTGTGCCAATCTAACGGGTGTTACCAGAAGTACCCCTGGCCCTGGGGCCCTCGGAGACCTTGGGCCAGGGGTACTTCCAGCAACATCCGAATATAGAACTCGGTGGGAAAATCTTGTCCCGTGCCTCCGGCACCCGGGCGATTATGCGATCGTCGTGCATGGATTGTTTCGCGGGCAGGCGGCAGCGGGAGCAGGAGGGGGGAAGAGGGGGGAGGGAAAGGGGAAGGGAGAAATCGTTCAGATCTCGTTCGCGGGCACCTTCACGAAGAACGCCCCGCTGACAGGCACGGTTGTCTCCCAACGGGGCATTTCTTTCGGACTAAATGAATCTTTGTGGGGGGCCTATGAAGAAGGAGTTTGGAGAAAGGGTTTATTCCAACATCGTTGATGAGTGTTGGGTTTATCATGATCCTCTTTCTTCTCATCATCCCTTGCCTCCTATGGTCGCAGTTGTGGTAAGTCTGCCCATCAGTTGGCATACGCCACACAAAAAGAGCCCACCGCAGACAACGACTTGTTGTGTTGTCGAAGCACTGCGGTTGGGTCGCGGGTGGTGGGTCGCGGAGTGGGTCACAGAGTGGGTCGCAGAGTGGGTCGCCGGCTGGACCGCGAGCGGGTCGTGGGTGAGTCGAGGGTGGGACGCAGGCGGATCGCGGGCGAGGACAACGACAAGAGCTTGAGGATGCAAAGGCACCGATCATTTACTCGAAATCCTGGTCACAACGCATCCCGAGAGAGGTCCCCGGAGTAGCAATATTGATACTTCTTGGTTCCCCCAGAGACAGCAAGAATCCGAACCGCCGCGGAATCCCCTCAGCCTCGCACTCAGGAGCGGTGCAACCATTCCGCCTCTCACTCTGATTGAGTGCTCGGAATGCGGTCAGCCGCGACACCCGCGGAAAGGCACCGCAAAGAAGCAAGGGTCCACAACTTGCCCGGTGCAGATCTTCGGAGAAGAAAAATCGGCGCCACCCCAACGTACTTATATATATATATATATATATATATATATGTGTGTCGCCCCCCCAGGGGCGACGCGCGCACCGAGAAATCTTATAGTGTATGAGTCGAGGCGGGCGTTTCCTGGCTACACGCTCGGGAGACGATATACTACAAGATGGGTATACTATAGGTTCGGGTCGGACGCGCGCCTCCAAGGAGAGCATATAGTACTGGTATGTCTCTGTGCGTCCCCAAAAATGGCATACACCTAAAGTGTTGGAGTGCGCGCTGGTTTTTTGGATCTGCGCCGGACCCCCCTCCGTGGCGCGGTGCTGGAGGCTCCGACAGGGGGCCCCAGCGCAGGTCCAAGAGATCCGCGCGGAGCTCCGACACCTCGCGCTTCTGCGGTGCTGGCGTTCTCCAGTTCTCCGAGCTGGCGGGGCGATCTGTTCGGAGCAGCAGCGGCAGGAAGTGGTCGAGCATCTCCGTCGGGCGCCGCGGGGCTCCGGGAGAGCGTGGCGAGCGACGTGGAGGGATCCAGCGGAGGGTTGGCGAGGGATGGTGGACGAAGGAGGAGGTCGGTGGGCAGTGTAGAACGGGGGGAGGCAGGAAGAGGGATGAAGAAGGACGGTGAGGAGGTTGAGGAAAGGGACGAGAAGGGAAGGACGGATGAGGAAGAGCGAAAGGGATGGGCTTATGAGGGCGGAGGGACTGGGAGGACAGAAGAGGTAAGCCGAACGTGAAACAGTGTTGAGAGAGAAGGGCGGAACAGCGGTATGGCTTAGAGGGGTTGATGGTGGGAATGTTCAACGCTCCATGTTGTTTGTGTGGACATCTGACTAGGCATATGGGGCATGTCATTGCCTGCTCGGTGCGCAGGGTTGCAAGCAACTCAACACAGTGTGGCCATCGACACTAACCATAAACGTCATGTTAAGCACCATGCGATCAGCGTCTGGCGGCGATAGCAAGTCTTTATGCCATCTTGGTAGCCCTAAGAGGGTGGTGGATTTCCCGTCGCTCCACCGTTGGCAGTTTGCTACTAGGATGCGGGCCGTTCGACGATCGCATCACCAGAAGTTGTTGCAGCTGCCCAGTGACTGGACTCTATCGCTTCCTCACCTTGGGTGTTCTTGTCCCAACAAACAGAGGTACCCATGCACAGGTGTAGGATATTGGTGGGAAGGAGGTGGCGGAGGATAAATCATAGTGTGATGCCCCACTGACCATAGATGCGTGCAATTTCAATTGTTGGCATGCATATGTGTAGCGTGTTTTTTGTTTCGTGACGCCGTAATCTGACGTGTTTTCTTTTTGCACTGCGCGGCCAGTTGTTTATCGAGGACGCCGACGGCGCACTACCAGCCGCTCACTGGAAGTTTGGCGAAGTGGCGCGCAGCATCGAGAGTCGTGACGCAGCGCGCATGCCAGCTGTCAGTGTCGGGGGGGCCTGAAGGTTTCCTTGGAACATCTAGTGGTTTCCGGCCCATCCTGCCACCGTGCCTAGTTTGTAAGTCAGAGGCCTCTTGGATACCTGTGGGGATCTCCTGGAAGGTTTTTCTGGATGCATCTTGGAGGCGGTTTGGGGGAAACTGTTTTGGGGCCTCTCAGGGGCCTCCACGGGCCTAATTTGGGGGCCTCCAGGAGCTTCTTGGGGGGGAGCCCCCTGGGGGCCTGACAGCGGTCTCGGGGCTCATCTTGGGGCGGAGAGGCCACGGCGGCCCATGTCGGCGGCCGTCGTGGCCTCGGGAGCGAGGATCCATCATCTGGTGATTGCGAGGGGTCGTGGCCTCGACAGCGCGGGTCCATGGTTTCTGTTGCGAGGGATCGTGGCTTCGGGAGGGCGGATCTATTGCTTTTGAACGAGTGGTCGTGACTTCGAGAGCGCGGCTCCATAGCTTCTCTGCCAGGGAAAGTGGGAGGGGGGCGATGCATGCAGTTGAGTGCGACTGGGAGGAGGGGCCTTCGAAGATTACAGAAACCCTAGCCGGCATCTGGCATTCTGCCACGCCTCAGTGTGCTAGGTACCACGGTGTCGGATAGTTGGGCACAGTAAAGTTGGCCATCGCTCCAAGCTTGGTAAGCTGGAGCATTAAGCATGACCAGGCCTCGAAGAGTCTGAAAAAGAACACCGGTGCAGGGCAACATCAGGTAATGTTGATGTGCAGTCAGACGAAGATGATGTGCATCATGGTTCTGAGCAGTTGCACCATCAGCGCCGCGTGC